CTGGTGGAATCCATGGCGGTATCCATAGTAGAATCCACGGTGGTAGTGCCATTATTTTTGAATAATAAATTCTTAAAGGTTTATACTTCAGTGCACTTCCTTTACCCCCTTCCTTTAAATTATAAAAGTGAAATTGAACGCGAAAAAATGTAAACTGAATGTATGCTGATCTATCTTTTTATTTTATTTTATTTGGTAAGAAATCTATGATTTGATAATACTATTTTATGTTAAAACTACGAATACTTAATGAATAGTCAGCTTTCTTTAACAACAGATCTCGGAGTATTTTATCTAGTAACATGACTAAAAAGAAAAAATCACCCATTTATCCTTTTGGATAATCATCTCTTTTAAGATGGTTATTGTTAATAAGAGGTCGTCGGTTGAATATAGGAAAGCTATGATTTGTAGATACTTATTGTTAATAATAAACCGGTGTATATGTATCCTCTTGCATTTGTGCGACCCTGCATTTGATGGTAATCAAATTGAACATATGAAGTACACTGATCTCACCCAACCATAAAGGTCTACTTTACCGCATTGTGAATGGCGTAAAACAAATAATGTTACAGGCATTGGTTTCGATGGAGAGTTCTTTGACTGAGACGTTCAACCTTCTGGTTATCACTACCCTGAAAACGATGAAAGGGCTAGTGAATATAAAAATGTTTACATATATCAACACGCGCGCGCAAACATATATACATACATGGACATAAAAAAAATATATATATATATGCGTATGCCAGACCGCCAACTCATACATACACGCACAAATGCACATTTTCTCGTGATCACACATTCATATATATATATATATATATATATATATACATATATATATATATATAAGTATATATATACATATATATAATATATATGCGTGTGTATTGGATAGACAATTATACATACATATGAATTTGCATGTATATATATATATATATATATATATATTCATGTGTGCTTATGTATGTATATATATATGAATATATGTAAATATGAGATCACACATGCAGATATTTAGAAATCAATAAGATGCGAAGCTACAACCGAAAGGTAACTGAACTGGAGAAAAAAAACGGTGACGTCATCAGGTGGGTGGCCAATAACGTCACAGAATAAAGGACAGGTCTTAGAGCCAACGGGCAAAGTGTTGCCATCTCTAGGAATCTCTTTTTCTAATTCACTCACTTCAGTTGACACGTAGTGTTCGATTACATTTATTTCAAATGTATGACTATTACACCACTGTGCATATGAATTCAATTCTCTTTTAACTCATTCTGAAATGTTTTATCATAATACTATATTCATATCTTACCTCGGAAAGTACATGCGTAGAATCCTGAATATGTTTCTCATGAAATACTGTAGAATCTGCGTAACCAAATATAGAGCTTCATAGTTACATAGAAACTATTTAGTCTCACGTCATCGAGTCTGGAAAATACCTAGCAACCTTTACTTGCACCCTTACCCCTCCCTTTCTCCCCTCCCTTCCCCCCCCCACCTGTCTGTTATCTGCCCCTTCCCTCATTCCCCCCCCTCTATCGCTGACACTTTCTATTCTGTTTGTGCATTCTTCCCTCATTCAATCCCTCCCAACCTCCTATCCTTATATTTTCCCCCTCCTTCCATCTTGTTTACACCTTCCCTTCTTTCCATCCGTCCTTCCGTATTCCTTCTACCCTGCTGGCACTCTCCCCGTTCTTCCGTCCTTCCTGCTTATACCCACCCCCTCCCTTCCTATCCTTCCCTCCTCCTCCGTCATTGGTAGGACGGAATATAACGATTTAGGCAGTGTCTTTCTTTATGATTTTTTTCCTCTCTTTCCGTCTATACAATTTATCAATGTCAAGTTCACATTCATCAATGTAATAAGGAAAGACGAGCAATTCCATTTCGCAAAAAGTGAACCGGAAAACCAAACACGTTACCTGGAAATTTATGTCGCTAGTTTGGGATATCCCGACTGGCGAGGCGGAGAGATTGGGGAGGGGGGAGGGGAGTCGGCCTCCAGTTCCTGTATATAAGCGACGTTGCATCTTCCACTCTCCACATTGCACAGCTATCCTCTAACTAACAATGAATGTGAGTTTTTGTTGCAAGATGCGTTATATTATTTAGGTTCGACCGTTTTAGGGTCATTTTTATGTTCATATTTTGTGGAGTTGATTGAATATAAATTAGATATCATATTATTTTCAAAATAATAAATCCATACATATAATGATGAATAATTTCGTTATCTCCCTTTGCAGAGCATCCAATCAGTGATTGTCTGTTGCCTTCTGGTGGCCGTCTCGGCCGGTGTAGACCGAAGAAGAAGTGGACAAGGATCCAACAGGTTCCTTTCTGGAGGCTTCGGTGGCGTCCACGGAGGCGGTCTCTTCGGTGGCGGTTTTAATGGTGGCGGAATTCATGGTGGCGGTATCCATGGTGGAATACACGGTGGTAGTGGTATCATCGGTGGTGGAATCTCCAATGGCCCAAGCCAGTGCAGATATTGGTGCAAGACTCCGGAGGGTCAAGCTTACTGCTGCGAGACGGTGCATGAACCAGAGACACCTGTTGGTACCAAGCCACTCACTTGCCCTCAAGTCCGTCCAACATGCCCACGTTTCCATGGTCCTCCCACTCCCTGTTCCAACGACTACAAGTGTGCCTGGCCTCGATAAGTGTTGCTTCGACAGGTGTTTGGGAGAACACGTGTGCAAACCTCCCTCATTTTTCAATAATGCTCTGCCCTTTTAAGGGTGGTTATTGCTAATAGTCATCGGTTTTCCGGTTGATAACGGAAGATAGAAAATCTGTGATTTATAGATATTTATTTTTGAATAATAAATCCATACATGTTTATATTTGCATGTCTTAGTTCCCTGCGTCTAGATTGTAATCAAAGAGAATACTGGAAAAAAAAAGTAATCGGAATATATATAGATCTATCACTTTTTTCTTCTTTTTTTACACCAGAAAGGGTAGTAAATACATAAAGAAACCAAAGAAGCCTAGTTTTCATTGAACCGAGTTCGTTGTGATGAATGTAGGTGTGAATAAGAATTGATATCTTTACGGCCTATAGGTCTGGATTTTATCTTTATCCGAAATACATATAATTTCTGGCGAATATAAAGTCGAAATGCATCAAGTGCATCTCATGAGCCATGAAAATGTGTAAGCGTTTTTCTGATTTATCATATAAATGTTGCATAAAACACTTGATTTTATAGGCAATCCATACATTGGATTAGGAATACATGGAGATTTGCATATGCGTATCCAAGTATAGATACGTTCAAGATGCGCAAAAGCGTTTTTCAGCAACCACTTTCCGTAGCAGAGCTGGTTATCTCGAGTACAGAGTGAATGGGCTTTCCTGATTATTGACAGAGGATGTGATTTGACAGTACTATTTTCTTATATATATAATACTTAATGAATACTCAGCTTTGTGATGCTTATTTATCCCTTTGATCTCCATTTTAACAATATATCTCGGAGGTTTGTATAGAGTATCTTGGATGATAAATTTTCATCTATTTCACCTTTATAGCCTTGTTTCAAGCAACAAAGGAAAACACACTGTTATTAATATGCGTTATGGAAAAGTAAAGTACTTTTTCGGATGATTAATCTAACACTTTGATTAATTACACCTCATTGACATTTTTTCACTGATTATTCGTTCTTTTTTATGTATTCATATGATTCACATGTAAATGTGACTAAATATGGTGATTCCCGTTTATCAAAACAGTTTTGCAATACTCTAGCTAATCAGCTCCTTACTGAACAAAACAGTGACTTTGCAGCTCCAAAAAAGAGCAAATTCTAATCCACTCAGTGCTTCTTCTTCAAGAGTAATTTAAAGGTAATCGAATATCTTTGGTCGCTGCCCTCTCCTTTAATCTTCTGAATTTTCATTGACAATCCATATTTTGTAGTGGCTGAAAGTGCCATTAACAGGCAACGCATAAATGTCTCTACTCTGAAGGGAAGACCAGCAGGTATCATATTATGGTCTACCCTAAAGGTATACTAATGGTTTCGGAAAGCAATGAATCGAGTTTGGTTTAAGTATTAGTACCCGTTTAATACCTGATGAATGTGGGAATATTTTGTAATCCATATGATTGGCTTATTTATTCCATTGTAAAATTAGATATAGTATAGTACTGTAACACATATAGTGTGACGTCATCAAGCCCGAAGTTTCTCACGTGCGAAAAAAAAAAAAGTAACCTGTATGACCTGTCATCAGTCAACTGGCAATACGATTTCATTGTCGCTTTAATCTGCCATGAAATTATTAAAGTATTAGTAATGATGATAATGATAATCTTTATATTCATCAGAATAATATTAAAGATAAAATATCACTGACATTGATAACATTTGTAACAATAATGATATCATTATTATTGTTACATTTATAACAATAATAATAATATTATTGGTAATAATAAAAACAACGATGTTAGTAACAGTCCGCTTTATAACAAAGAAATTCTTAAACGATGACAATAAAAGGAAATACCTATATAAAAAATAATAGTACTATCACTAGCGATAATTATGCAACGATTGTAGTGTCAGTAACTAATATTAAAATTAAATAGTGCAAATATTATCGACACGAGTAGTAAAAAATTACAATACTAATAAAAAATCTAAGCATTTCTTTTTAAAACTTTTATAGTTCTATTTATTTTCAGCGCCATTTTTAACTCTGCCATCAATGTAAACAGGAAGAGTAACCGATGTATGATTCAAGAGAATATTATTTGCACAAGACCCCAGGGAATTTAATTTGGCAGGAAATGTCATAGTTGCGTCACGGGATATCCCGACTGGCGAGACATGGGTGGGGTGGGGCGGAGGGGGGTTACCAGTTCCTGTATATAAGCGCGGTTGCAACTCGCACTCGCCACATTACTCAGACACCTCTGGTCAGCAATGAATGTGAGTGCATCTTTCGAGACACGATGATAACTATATTTCACTCTATTTCTTATATATTAACGGAAGATAGAAAATCTGTGATTTATAGATATTTATTTTTGAATAATAAATCCATACATGTTTATATTTGCATGTCTTAGTTCCCTGCGTCTAGATTGTAATCAAAGAGAATACTGGGAAAAAAAGTAATCGGAATATATATAGATCTATCACTTTTTTCTTCTTTTTTTTACACCAGAAAGGGTAGTAAATACATAAAGAAACCAAGAAGCCTAGTTTTCATTGAATCGAGTTCGTTGTGATGAATGTAGGTGTGAATAAGAATTGATATCTTTACGGCCTATAGGTCTGGATTTTATCTTTATCCGAAATACATATAATTTCTGGCGAATATAAAGTCGAAATGCATCAAGTGCATCTCATGAGCCATGAAAATGTGTAAGCGTTTTTCTGATTTATCATATAAATGTTGCATAAAACACTTGATTTTATAGGCAATCCATACATTGGATTAGGAATACATGGAGATTTGCATATGCGTATCCAAGTATAGATACGTTCAAGATGCGCAAAAGCGTTTTTCAGCAACCACTTTCCGTAGCAGAGCTGGTTATCTCGAGTACAGAGTGAATGGGCTTTCCTGATTATTGACAGAGGATGTGATTTGACAGTACTATTTTCTTATATATATAATACTTAATGAATACTCAGCTTTGTGATGCTTATTTATCCCTTTGATCTCCATTTTAACAATATATCTCGGAGGTTTGTATAGAGTATCTTGGATGATAAATTTTCATCTATTTCACCTTTATAGCCTTGTTTCAAGCAACAAAGGAAAACACACTGTTATTAATATGCGTTATGGAAAAGTAAAGTACTTTTTCGGATGATTAATCTAACACTTTGATTAATTACACCTCATTGACATTTTTTCACTGATTATTCGTTCTTTTTTATGTATTCATATGATTCACATGTAAATGTGACTAAATATGGTGATTCCTGTTTATCAAAACAGTTTTGCAATGCTCTAGCTAATCAGCTCCTTACTGAACAAAACAGTGACTTTGTAGCTCAAAAAAGAGCAAATTCTAATCCACTCAGTGCCTCTTCTTCAAGAGTAATTTAACGGTAATCGAATTTCTTTGGTCGCTGCCCTCTCCTTTAATCTTCTGAATTTTCATTGACAATCCATATTTTGTAGTGGCTGAAAGTGCCATTAACAGGCAACGCATAAATGTCTCTACTCTGAAGGGAAGACCAGCAGGTATCATATTATGGTCTACCCTAAAGGTATACTAATGGTTTCGGAAAGCAATGAATCGAGTTTGGTTTAAGTATTAGTACCCGTTTAATACCTGATGAATGTGGGAATATTTTGTAATCCATATGATTGGCTTATTTATTCCATTGTAAAATTAGATATAGTATAGTACTGTAACACATATAGTGTGACGTCATCGAGCCCGAAGTTTCTCACGTGCAAAAAAAAAAGTAACCTGTATGACCTGTCATCAGTCAACTGGCAATACGATTTCATTGTCGCTTTAATGGCGGTCTCTTCGGTGGCGGTTTTAATGGTGGCGGAATCCATGGTGGTGGAATTCATGGTGGCGGTATCCATGGTGGAATCCACGGTGGTAGTGGTATCATCGGCAGTGGAATCTCCAATGGCCCAAGCCAGTGCAGATATTGGTGCAAGACTCCAGAGGGTCAAGCCTACTGCTGCGAGACGGTGCATGAACCAGAGACACCTGTTGGTACCAAGCCACTCACTTGCCCTCAAGTCCGTCCAACATGCCCACGTTTCCATGGGCCCCCCACTACCTGTTCCAACGATTACAAGTGTGCTGGCCTCGATAAGTGTTGCTTCGACAGGTGTTTGGGAGAACACGTATGCAAACCTCCCTCCTTTTTCAATAACCATTTCCCCTTTTAAAGATGGTTATTGCTAATAAATAGCCATCGGTTTTCCGGTTGATAACGGAAAATAGGAAATCTGTGATGTGTAGATATTTATTTTTGAATAATAAATCTTTATATATGAATACTTCCTTGCATTTCTTTGTTCCCTTCGTGGGAGAACACCTCCCTCATTTTTCCATAACCATCCCCCCTTTTAAAGCTAGCTATCCAAGATAAATAGTGAAAGACGTTCTCCGATTGTTAACGGAGGATGTGAAATCTGTGATCCGAACATATTTATTTTCATATAATAGAGGCATAAATACTTAAAGATTCTTGATTTTTGGTTCCCCTTTTATTCCCATTTTAACGATCGGTCTTGGATGTTTACAAGTATCTTAGAGGATAAACCTTCAACAATTTCTCCATAGTAATAGAATTATGTCCGTTAAGAAGGTAATACACTTCCAGATCAGTATAGGACTTTGATGCAATTTATTGGTCGATGCAATTCTGGAAGGCGTCGTAAATCTAATCATTTTTACACATATATATAGTGTGTGTGTGTGTGTTTGTAAATTGGTTCATGTAAGAGTATACGGTTTAAATATGAAATAATTTCCGTAACTAAAGAAGTGAAGGTTGCTATAAAAAGTGAAAAAGTTTAATTACAAAAGTTAACGATATTAAAAGTATATATATTAAAAAACAATATAATCATGATAATAGTAATAATAATAATAATAGTAAGATCAATGACTAATAATAATAAAGGTAATGATAGAAGTAATTATGAGAATGAGAATGATGATGATGGTAATAATAATAGTAATAATGGTAATTGTAATAATACCAATGATGGTAAAAATGATATTATCATTATAATAACGATGATAATGACAATAATAATAGTAATAATTATCAATAAAAGATGACAATAATGTTATGAGTACTATCATTATCGCTGTCATTATTACTTTCCGTGTAGAGCTGGTTATCTCGAGTGCAGAGTGAATGGAGTTTCCCGATTATTGACGGGGGGTGTGAAATCTATGATTTGACAGTACTATTTCCTTATAGTAAATCTATGAATGCTTAATGAATACCCAGTTTTCTGATGCTATTTATCCCTTTGATCCCCATTTTAACAATACATCTCAGAGGTTTGTATAGAGTATCTTGGATGATAAATTTTCATCTATTTTACCTTCTTTAAAGCCTTGTTTCAAGTAACAACGGAAAACACACTGTTATTGATATGCCTTATGGAGAAGTAAAGTACATGATCTGCCACTTTGATTCGTAATACCTCATTGATATTTTTCTCTAATTATTCGTTCACATTTTTTTTTATGTATTTCATATGATTCACATGTAAATTTGACAAAACTTGGTGATCCCTGTTTAACAAAACGGTTTGGCAATACTCTAGCTAATCAGCTCCTTACTGAACAAAACAGTGACTTTGCAGTTCAAAAAAAGAGCAAATTCTAATCCATTCTGTACTTCTTCATGAGTAGTTTAATAGTAATCGAATTTCTTTGGTCGCTGCCCTCTCCTTTAATCTTCTGAATTTTCATTGACAATCCATATTTTGTAGTGGCTGAAAGTGCCATTAACAGGCAACGTATAAATGTCTCTACTCTGAACGGAAGACCAGCAGGTATCATATTATGATCTACCTTAAAGGTATACTAATGGTTTCGGAGGGCAGTGAATCGAGTTTGGTTTAAGTATTAGTACCCGAGTAACACCTGATGAATGTGGGAATATTTTTTAATGCATATGATTGGCTTATTTATTCCATTGTAAAATTAGATATAGTATAGTACTGTAACACATATAGTGTGACGTCATCGAGCCCGAAGTTTCTCACGTGCAAAAAAAAAGTAACCTGTATGACCTGTCATCAGTCAACTGGCAATACGATTTCATTGTCGCTTTAATCTGCCATGAAATTATTAAAGTATAAGTAATGATGATAATGATATTCTTTATATTCATCAGAATAATATTAAAGATAAAATATCACTGACATTGATAACATTTGTAACAATAATAATATTATTATTGTTACATTTATAACAATAATAATAATGTTATTGATAATATTAAAAACAACGATGTTAGTAACAGTCCGCTTTATAACAAAGAAAATCTTAAACGATGACAATAAAAGGAAATACCTATACAAAAAATAATAGTAGTACTATCACTAGTGATAATCATGCAACGATTATAGTGCCAGTAACTAATAAAATTAAATAGTGCAAATATTATCAACACGAGTAGTAAAATTATTACAATACTAATAAAAAATCTAAGCATTTGTTTTTAAAACCTTTTACTGTTCTATTAATTTTCAGCGCCATTTTTGCCATCAATGTAAACAGGAAGAGTAACCGATGTATGATTCAACAGAATATTATTTGCACAAGACCCCAGGGAATTTAATTTGGCAGGAAATGTCATAGTTGCGTCACGGGATATCCCGACTGGCGAGACATGGGTGGGGTGGGGAGGAGGGGGGTTACCAGTTCCTGTATATAAGCGCGGTTGCAACTCGCACTCGCCACATTACTCAGACACCTCTGGTCAGCAATGAATGTGAGTGCATCTTTCGAGACACGATGATAACTATATTTCACTCTATTTCTTATATATATTTAAATTATGTTGTCTTAAGTCTTTAAATTCTGGATGTCATAGTGGTTTGATAAGCACATTTAAATCTTTATAGATCAGAGTCAATAGTTTTGTTATCTCTTGCAGAGCATCAAAGCCGTGATTGTGTGTTGCCTTCTGGTGGCCGTCTCGGCCGGTGTAAACCGAAGGAGAGGTGGACAAGGATCCAACAGATTCCTTTCTGGAGGCTTCGGTGGCGTTCACGGAGGCGGTCTCTTCGGTGGCGGTTTTAATGGTGGCGGAATCCATGGTGGTGGAATTCATGGTGGCGGTATCCATGGTGGAATCCACGGTGGTAGTGGTATCATCGGCAGTGGAATCTCCAATGGCCCAAGCCAGTGCAGATATTGGTGCAAGACTCCGGAGGGTCAAGCCTACTGCTGCGAGACGGTGCATGAACCAGAGACACCTGTTGGTACCAAGCCACTCACTTGCCCTCAAGTCCGTCCAACATGCCCACGTTTCCATGGTCCTCCCACTACCTGTTCCAACGACTACAAGTGTGCTGGCCTCGATAAGTGTTGCTTCGACAGGTGTTTGGGAGAACACGTGTGCAAACCTCCCTCATTTTTCAATAATGCTCTGCCCTTTTAAGGGTGGTTATTGCTAATAGTCATCGGTTTTCCGGTTGATAACGGAAGATAGAAAATCTGTGATTTATAGATATTTATTTTTGAATAATAAATCCATACATGTTTATATTTGCATGTCTTAGTTCCCTGCGTCTAGATTGTAATCAAAGAGAATACTGGAAAAAAAAGTAATCGGAATATATATAGATCTATCACTTTTTTCTTCTTTTTTTTACACCAGAAAGGGTAGTAAATACATAAAGAAACCAAAGAAGCCTAGTTTCATTGAACCGAGTTCGTTGTGATGAATGTAGGTGTGAATAAGAATTGATATCTTTACGGCCTATAGGTCTGGATTTTATCTTTATCCGAAATACATATAATTTCTGGCGAATATAAAGTCGAAATGCATCAAGTGCATCTCATGAGCCATGAAAATGTGTAAGCCTTTTTCTAATTTATCATATAAATGTTGCATAAAACACTTGATTTTATAGGCAATCCATACATTGGATTAGGAATACATGGAGATTTGCATATGCGCATCCAAGTATACATACGTTCAAGACGCGCAAAAGCGTTTTTCAGCAACCACTTTCCGTAGCAGAGCTGGTTATCTCGAGTACAGAGTGAATGGGCTTTCCTGATTATTGACAGAGGATGTGATTTGACAGTACTATTTTCTTATATATATAATACTTAATGAATACTCAGCTTTGTGATGCTTATTTATCCCTTTGATCTCCATTTTAACAATATATCTCGGAGGTTTGTATAGAGTATCTTGGATGATAAATTTTCATCTATTTCACCTTTATAGCCTTGTTTCAAGCAACAAAGGAAAACACACTGTTATTAATATGCGTTATGGAAAAGTAAAGAACTTTTTCGGATGATTCATCTAACACTTTGATTAATTACACCTCATTGATATTTTTTTCACTGATTATTCGTTCTTTTTTATGTATTCATATGATTCACATGTAAATGTGACTAAATATGGTGATTCCTGTTTATCAAAACAGTTTTGCAATGCTCTAGCTAATCAGCTCCTTACTGAACAAAACAGTGATTTTGTAGTTCAAAAAAAGAGCCAATTCTAATCCACTCAGTGCCTCTTTTTCAGGGGTAGTTTAACGGTAAACGAATTTCTTTGGTCGCTGCCCTCTCCTTTAATCTTCTGAATTACTGTAACACACATAGTGTGACGTTATAGAGCCCGAAGTTTCTCACGTGCAAAAAAAAAGTAACCTGTATGACCTGCCATCATTCATTGTCGCTTTAATCTGCCATGAAATTATTAAAGTAGAAGTAATGATGATAATGATATTCTTTGTATTTATCAGAATAATATTAAAGATGAAATATCACTGACATTGATAACATGTGTAACAATAATAATATTATTATTGTTACATTTGTAACAATAATAATAATGTTATTGATAATAATAAAAACAACGATGTTAGTAACAGTCCGCTTTATAACAAAGAAAATCTTAAACGATTACAATAAAAGGAAATACCTATACAAAAAATAATAGTAGTACTATCACTAGCGATAATCATGCAACGATTATAGTGCCAGTAACTAATAAAATTAAATAGTGCAAATATTATCGACACGAGTAGTAAAATGATTACAATACTAATAAAAAATCTAAGCATTTGTTTTTAAAACTTTTATAGTTCTATTTATTTTCAGCGCCATTTTTAACTCTGCCATCAATGTAAACAGGAAGAGTAACCGATGTACCCCATTCAAGAATATTATTTGCACAAGACCCAGGGAATTTAATTTGGCAGGAAAATGTCATAGTTACGTCACGGGATATCCCGACTGGCGAGACATGGGTGGGTGGGGCGGCAGGGGGGTTACCAGTTCCTGT